AAGTAAGTCAGCTGTGTGTTGTTAGGCAAGTTGGATACGCTGTTATTACATCACCAGCCTGAAACTGAAAGTGCCTGCGGCATATTAACATCAACCACATGGAGCTGGTTTATCAGGTTTTATTGTCGAAGTCAGAGAGGAGATTATGAAATTGCTCATTTACTAATCAAATAATGTACTTACATTACATTTTTTAAAACAATTAGGAATGCTTAACATTCTTTAAAAAGCCATTGATGAATGTGCTTAACAGACCACGAGAATTCAATTATGAATACATATATTTAAACAAATCAAAATTTCATGTCATTTCTCATTTAAAAGTACATAAGTAAGTTAACTAATGATCTGTTGAGCATAATATAAATGCAGTATAAGATTATTTAAAATTATAAAGTGAACCACACAATAAACTAAAGCTTAATTTTAATGTAAGCTACCAAATATTAAGTTCTATTTTTCTATTGTGTCAAATACTTATTTCATGCAATAAAATGGAAATTAATTATTAAAAAATCATACAATGTGATTTTCTGGATTTTTTTTTTTTTTGATTCTGTCTCTCACAGTTGAGGTGTACCTACGATGAAAATTACAGATCTCTCCATTCTTTGTAAGTGGGGAAACTTGAAAAATCGGCAGTGTATCAAATACTTATTTGCCCCACTGTATACTGTATAACATAAATACAAATATATTTTGTACATATGTATTGTATTTACTGTATGTGTGTGTATTATACACACAGTAAGTACAATATATATTTACAAAATATATATTTACAATTGTTGTATTTATAATATAAACAAAAATAAAAAAGCAGTGTTTAAAGGTTTTACAAAACCGAGTTATTTTTAAAATAATGCGTGTGTATATATATATATATATAATATGTTTTGAACTTCTAAAATGTACTTATATTTTGTATACAGTATATACAATATTTTGTGTTTTGATGTCCTTTGGGTGGGGGAGGGTTTACATGTCTTGCATCAGATCTTGAGACTGTTACTCGATCATAAACAATCCCGGCTGCACTCTCAGTGCAAAATAATGAGTTTATTGAATGTTGACATCCAGAAAGTTTGCATATTTAGAGAAACTTTCTAAAGCTTACCATACATAGTTGAAAAATTACAAGGGAATTAATTACATTGTTTTTTGACGCTTGGAAGTATCAAAAGAAATTCCTTGTGGTACAGTGCACACACCTGACAATTAAACAGTTTTAAGGAAAATTCATAACTGCTGTAACCGCAGAGCCTTTAGAGAAAGAAATGCCTCAGAATAAGAACCCTCCCATGTACGTCAGCAGTGACTCCACACAGATGTTTCCAAAGAACCCCTCCCATCCATTCAAAAGGCACTGTTTCAGAAATTACAGATCGTACCTTTACCGTGTGTCAAGTGTTACAGTATATAGTCACACACCCTGAGCTACATTACTAGAATGTTGATATATAGGGAAAACAATGTGCTATACTATGCCTAGCTGTCCAGTCATCAACTGTGAATCATTGCTTCTTATATGTTAGTTAGGTTACATGAGTACTTTTTATACAAGAATGAAACATGCAGCAATGCACAACTTAAATGAAAATCCCCAAATATTGTATTATTGTGTAAACAAATATTACGTGATTGTCTTATCATAAGAAATAAATGTTATACCACTGTAATATTGCAATAATTCTAAATATACACAGAGAATGTCCACAGGTACAAAAGTTTAAGCATTGACTCTACTTGTTATAATAATAAAAAAAATACAAGAGAGGGAGAGTCAATAAAATGTTATAGATCTAGTTTTATGGTTATAGTTTCTATGATTTCTGCCACTATGACAGTGTTTATGAGGTGATATATAATTGGGAAAGTCTCCAGGCATAACAGTTTAAATGTTAAAGAATGGTCATAAATAACATTTTTAAATTTTACAAAAAGTGTGGTATCATTCTTACAATTGTGAAGAGCACTCATTTGTTTACTGTTACTCGAAAGAGGCACAAAATTATTTTTTAACCACCCAAAAAAAATAAATACCACAATAAATTACCTATAAAAAACAACAACAATAAATAAATAAATGTAGAAATAAAAATATTGCACAGACCAAGCAATGGCCTTGAATTTGGTGGGAAGAAATTTATAATATGGAGAAAGACATTTGTGAAAAGCACAATACTGTCTACTGTCACTCATAAGAGGCATAAAATAATTTTTCAACTTTCAATATATGATACAAAATTAAATAATTAAATAATAAATTACCTCAAATAAATAAATAAGTAAATAAATAAATATTGCACGGACAAAGTAATGGTCTTGAATTTGATAAAGAAAATCAATAGTTTGGACAGAGTGCTCTCCAAAAAAAACACTAAATAAAATGCATTAATTAAAAATCATCTTACAATGTTGTGTGCTGTGAGATGTGTTTGCTTGATAAATTTGGCCCAAAAGTGCAAAAGCTACAGAAGCTGTTTAAGAGGCTTGTGCTTGTTTTTTACTCAAACTGTGACGTAACACACAAATCACAAACATCACAGATTATTTGACAAACAAATGAGCCTTTAGAGATTCTCATCAGAAGCATCTTGCATCACAACTGTATGATAATAGGAGTACAAAACAAACCGATGCTTGTTTTGTACAGTCCAGACCAAAACAAATGATCCTTTTATTCTTTTCCATTTCACTCCACTTCACTTCTACTACTACGGTTGTAAAAAACGGGAGTCGGAGAGGTTGAGACAAGGACAGAAAAGCCATTAAAGCAGTATATGGCACACGGCCGTAGGGATTAAAGGAGAAAAGGTATACGAGGAAAATAGAGTATCGACCAGACTCAAATACCTTTAGGAGTAAGTAAATCACAGGTTCGGCTAAAACCTGGTCTCATTTCCTTTGTGAACTGGATGAGAGAGAGAACAATTCATCTGATACCGTCTGCTGGTGCAATGCAAGGTCTGTCTCATTAAAGTGACAGTCTCGTCAGATGCTAAGCGAAGCACGGAGATGCACTCTTCTTCCTTCGCTGTCACTCTCGCTGTAATTCAAAGAAATGTTTGAGAGGGTCTGGCTCCAGTACCCACACAATCCTTCCTAAACACCCCTGTCCTAGTGTTTAAAAGACGCTTTATCCGAAGGGATTTAGGGAGGTCCAATCGCAAAAACAGTCAGTTCCCCTTGAAGAACTCCGATTTAAGTGCTACGGTCAAGGGCACAATAATGACACAGCACAAACCTGATTTAAGTCACTCTCTAGCATTTGGACAGCAGACTATCTGGCCTTTACGTTAACACTCTCTTAAAGGGTTAGTTCACCCAAAAATGAAAATTCTGTCATTAATTACTCACCCTCGTGTTGTTCCAAGCCTGTAAGACCTTCGTTCGCCTTCAGAACACAATTTAAGATATTTTTGATGAAATCTTGAGGGCTCTCTGACCCTCCCATAGACAGCAAGGTAACTGCCACGTTCAAGGTCCAGAAAAGTACCAAAATGATCGACAAAGTAGTCCGTGTGGCGGCGCTGACCCAGATCCGGCGTAATGACGTCATAATGACGTCGCCGGCGCCGCCACATGCTCGCATCATGATACTGTCGTGAACGCGTGTCCACAAGTGATGCAGTAGAGATGAAAATGTGGAATAAAGTCGGTATTTTTGTTTTCTTTGTGCAAAAAAGTATTCTTGTTGCTTCGTAACTTTACAGTTGAACCACTGATGTCACACAGACTACTTTGTCGATCATCTTGGTACTTTTCTGGACCTTGAACGTGGTAGTTACCTTGCTGTCTATGGGAGGGTCAGAGAGCCCTCAGATTTCATCAAAAATATCTTAAATTGTGTTCCGAAGATGAACATTTTTTGGTGAACTAACCCTTTAAAGGAACATTACAGGTTCAGTACAAGTTTAGCTCAATTGACAATATTCACTAGCAAAACTTATCCCCATTTGTCCCTCTTTTTCTTTAAAACAAGGAAGACTTGGCTTATAGTGAGGCATTTACAATGGAAGTGAATGGGCCTGAACTTTTAAAGCAAACATTTGAATTCACAATGAAACAAAAGTATTGGATTATCAAAAACAAAAAGAAATATAGGGTGAAACTTAGTTGAATTGAAATTTCCATTTGACTGTTGATTTTAAATTCTCACTGCTTTAAAAGTAAAGTCACGTGTTTACATGATTTTAGTATAATAAACTGTTGCTATCACAAAGAAACACCAAAAAAAAAGTTTTAACAGAATAATTTTTTTAAATGCTTCACGTTTTTGCTTTTAAATCCTCCTTCCATTGTAAATGCCTCAACATAACCTAAAGGACAAGTCAAAATGAAATGATTATTTGTGCTATTCAGAAGGTTTGATTAATGCACAAGCACATACTACTTCCTGACATCACTGCTTTCTATTGTCTGAAAGCACCACACTCAATGACAGTGCAACAGAATTTTTGTTTCCTTATACACTAACATTCAAAAGTTTGGGGTGAGTAAGTTTTTTTAGAAATAAATTAATATATTTATTCAACAAGGATGCATTAAATTAATTAAAAGTGACAGTAAATATGTTTATAATGTCACAAAAGATAAAATAAAAGCTGTTCTTTTGAACTTTCTATTAATCAAAGAATCCTGCAAAATGTACAGTATCATGGTTTCCACAAAACTAATGAGCAGCACAATTGTTTTCACCATTGATATTAATAATAATAAATATTTCTTGCAAATCAGCATATTAGAATGATTTCTGAAGGATCATGTGACACTGAACACTGGAGTAATGATGCTGAAAATTCAGCTTTGCATCACAGGAATAAATTACATTTTAAAATATATTAAAATAGAAACAGTTATTTTAAATTGTAATCATATTTCACAATATTACTGTTTTTACTGTCAAATAAATGCAGCCTTGGTGAGTGATTTCTTTCAAAAACGTACAAAAAAAATCTTACTGACCCCATACCTTTGAATGGTAGAGTAATTGGAGCAGAAAGTGGATTACAAAAAAAATATTGTGCTTTTATAACTGAGATAGAGTTATGAAAAGTGAACAATTAGGAAGTCAGGGTCAGGAATCCGAAAGTGGAGGTAAAAACTCATCGACTTCAAAATAAAGTACATAAACTACAGACACAACTTTACATTGCCTTCTTGAGATTCCACCATCCCGGACTCATTTGTACAGCAGGGGCAGACGGCTGTTGTGGCAGTTGTTTCGGCTCAGTTTGCCCTCGCCCTGGTACAGGTTGGAAGAATTGGAGAAGGACGGAGGCAGGGACTGTTTGTCTGTTGCGGGGCAGTAGTTGGGGGGTTCGGCCTGAGACGACGGGACGCTGTGGTTCTGGTTCTGATTCTGGACAGACGGGCGTCTACGAGAGCGCAAGGCCTGGCGTTCTGCAAGCTGACTCCGCAGTTCCGTCACTCTTTCTTCCTTCTGCACAAAAAAAAACAAAACAATATTTATATTTATATATCTGCTAAACTTCTCAATTTTTGTTCCATAGAAGAAAGTAAGTCACACTGTATGGGACCACATGAGGCTGAGTAAATGATTTTCCATTTTTGGGTGAACTATTCTTTCGACATTTCCTTTAGCATGTCTATTTCCTCATATATAAAGCATATTCTGGCCTTAATGAATGAACAAATCAGAAGGTCAAAGACAAGGACGAGTAGGATATCATTTCAATAATTCATTCTATCCTTCTGGGATCCCATTCCATGTGTTCATCTATTAATCTATTATGGTGTTAATTAAGCCGCAAGCTGTGTGCACATGAGGAGAAGAGGAAAATGCCTCTTGAATGATCTTCTGGAGTTCCCTGTTCTCGCGCTCCAGCTGTCTTGACTTCTCCTCATCGTTGTTGTTGGTGGACGAGCCGGTTTTCAGCGTGTCCTGCTGCTCCGACTGCCACTCGCCACGAGTGATCAAACGCCGTATCTGCAGAAACGACCGTTAAAATCTATGAGACGCCGCAGGGAGCGTTCGCTGAATTTATGAAATGTCAGTGAAATCAATAGTTCATATGGGTGATGCTGTGCAGGAGAGGACGGGTAATAAGTAAGGGATCATTTACAGCCAGCCAATCACAAAATAAATCACCCTGAAGGGTTTATTCTGCGATAAAGATCTGTTTTTGTACATTATCTAGCTTATTACATGGCTATTTGGCTGATAAATAAATAAATGGACATGAAATACTGATTCAAGATATTATTGAACTATTTTCATATTTATTATAACTAACAAAACTAATAAAAATATTTTTTTAATAATTGAAAAATAAAAATAGACTGAAATAAAATTAGATAGAAATATTACATGGAAAGTTTAAATTAAAAAAAATTATGTTCCTTGGCTACTAACTGAAATAATTTGAGGCATTAAAATGATTAACTGGAAATGAATAAAAACTACAAGTGAAATAAATCTAAATAAATAATAATAAATTAAACCTAAATAGTACTATTTAAAAAAAGGATTAAAAAATGACAAAAACACGTTAAAAAAAAACTAAAATTAACATTGAAAATTGAAAATATAAAAATAACAAAATTTAAGATTAAAAACACAAATAATATTCAATATTTATCTATTATAATTGTGGTGGTGGCCAAAAACCAGCAGGACAGCTGTGGGCAAAATTGGATGATTTATTCTTCCATAAAAAAAACAAAAATGATAATCAAACCCACAGGAGCAAATATAACATAAATCCAATCTAACATAGTCCAAACAAATTCAACTCAAGATAAAGAAAAATAACTGAAATTAAAGAGGCCTACAAAGAATAAATCTGCCCTGCTAACAAAGCAACAAAACAAAAATACAAACAAAGGAAGAACTGGAATCAGCCCAGGTGAACTACAGACTGGTAGGGATGGGCGTATCGATCCGAAGTATCGATATATCGATACTGACGCGAGTATCGAAAGTATCGATACTCAAACAAAAAATATCAATACTAAGGTGTGTTTTATTTACCAGTGATTTTGTTTATTTAACAAAAAAATAATAATGCGTACAATATGCATTGAATTGGACGAATAACCTTTGTTAGCGAGTAATTGTGTAGGATATAACTATTTTCCTGCTCATCTGAACATTACCCATTTTAATCTTAGTAATTTAATAAATTTCATAATTTAAAAGTTTAGTTCAGAAGTATTGAATCGTTATCGATGATACTGCCTTGAAAAATATCGGTATCGTATCGCAAACAAAATAAGTGGTATCGCCCATCCCTAGAGACTGGCCATGTAGCACCAACATCCTCTAGACATAGTCATGTAGCCTCTACCAAACAAAAGTGAAGGGTAAACAATCAAATAGCACTTTAACAGCTAAACCCCTAATAACAATAATATTCACAACAAACATACACTTTAACATTAACTGACATAACACAACCAGTTACCTCAATCAAAATAAGGAAACTGTTCAAACAAATGAACAAAGAAAACAAATAAATGAAATGAAGTAAAGGATCCCCCTCAGAGTTTGAACAATGCTGGTACAGTCCAATATCCTCTGGCACAGCACAAGTTAGGGAACTGAAGCCCCGCCTCTCCCTTTGTTTGGTGACACATGGTAGGGATGGGCGATACCTCTTATTTTATTTTCGATCCGATACCGATATTTTCAAGCCCAGTATCGTCGATATCGATACCTCTAAACTAAACTGATCTTTTAAATTATTAAAAGAATATAATCAGTAATTACACTCACTTAATATTAGATTTTAAAGCCATGTTTTTTAACATTTCATAGGCCTTTTTTTGTTTACACGGTCAGAAATAAAATATACTATAATTGTATTTTAGCGCTTTACTGGGGCAGTAATCTTAAAGGTGCAACTATACCCCTAAAAGGGAGCATATTAGTACCATACAAGTATGCATGCTTTAAGGGTAGATAAGTTACAAAGGTGCACCTTTGAGGATACATCATGAGAAATAAACATGGTGTTACGTAAGTACTAAAATGTATTATTATTATTATTATTATACCATGGTAAATTTGTGGTTACTGCAGTTTTACTACAAATACTGTGGTAAACTGTGGTTACTGTAATAAAACCATGGTTAATTTTTGTAAAAGGCTGCCAGGCTGTTGTACCCCTAAAGGTGGTACTTTTTTCTGACAGATTTATTAACAGCAGTTACAGAACATAGCACAATCCATTTGAACTTGTAACAACCAGTTTAAATAAATTTACTTGCACAAACTAGCCAATTTAATAATAAATATTACATGTACACAAAAGTTTGGAGTCAGTAAGATTTAGTAATATGTTTTAAGTCTCATGCTCACCAAGGCTGCACTTCTTTGAAAAAAAAAAAGCAGTAACAATGAATAATAATCATATTTTCTATTTTAATATATTTTAAAATGTCATTTCAAATGCATCTGTGATCAAAGCTGAATTTTCAGCATCATTACTCCAGTCTTCAGTGTCACATGATCCTTCAGAAATAATTATATTATCATTTGCTGCTCAAGAAACATTTATTATTATTGCTGCTTCATATTTGTGTGGAAACC